ATTCAAGTTTATTTTGGCTCTAAATTCTGCCCTTCTGTCCTGGAAATTGTTGGTCTCCGAGTTCCTGCTCGGTATATCAGAGATTTTGCATTGTTCAATATTTGCCCTTCATTTAAGAATTGTCCCTCTGCTAGATGCGCAGCAGCTGCTAATGTTGTCTGCAGGGAGGTTGACGTATTCGGAGCCAGGAATGTTCTACCCAAACATATTTTAAATACAGTATAACTGTTAGTATTTATATTATTAGTATATTATTAGTATAGTAACTGTTAGTATTTATATAGTATTTATATTATATATTATTATATAAAGCAAAATGAATTACGTAATTTTCCTCAGAAAATCTATACTATTTAATTCTTGATTAAATATTAATGTTTCATTCCTCTATTCGTAATAGCACTTAGTTTAATGATAATGGAATTATTATTACTGTTATAATTATCGCTTATTTGTTTGTTTACTTTTACATTTATTCGTTATTATTTCTTCCAATTACTTAACTGTATTTTGTATTTGACTTCTAATAAGTTTGTATGTAATGTAATTCAGTCATCTACACTGTGCTGAGTCTGTAATTGGCCTTGCGGCTGTTGACTCGGCACATTAATAATAAAGAATTGAATTGAATTGAATTGAATTGAATATGTCAAGTTGATGATTGCTGCGTAAAACTTAATAAAACTTAAATTAAGATTGTGCATTTATTAATTTATATTAATGTGTCTTATTTAGACTTTCATGTGGCGGTATTTAAGTGTTACATTTATAGTATTCCTACTGTGTACTGTCTATACTTGATTTTGAGCTTGGTATCCCACTCGGGTAGATTTTTCTTGGGGCTAGTTGAAGTTTAATGTTATGTATTATGTATGGGTCTCCCATGCTAGTAATGATGTTAATGTTGTAGCAGTCATGTCAGTTCCTTTTTGAAGTGCCTTAAAAGGAAGTGGATGGTTGTCGGCCTACTTCTCTTAAATTGTCAATATTTCTCTCACAAAACATTCAAAGTACCTCCCTAATAACACATTGCAGATAAACATCAGGTAGTGTTCCATAAGACCTATGACTATATTTCCTCCAATGAACAAAAATTTATTGCAGCTTGAAAATGGCATATCATGAAGAAATACCATAAAGAACTTCACAATCTGTATGTTTCATCAAAAATTATTAGATTGATCAAATGAACGAGGATGAGATGGACAGGGAATGAAGCACACGAGAGATAAGAGAATATGAAATATAGGTTGGAAAACCTGAAGGGAAAAGATCTCTTGGAATACCTAAGCATATTTGGGAGAATAAGGGTGAGGAATGGGTTCATCTGGATTAGAATAGGGATCAGAGGTTGGCTGTTATGAACACAGTAATCATCCTTCAGTTTATGTAATAGATAGGGGACATTTTGCCTTCTGGAGAAGGGCTCTTCTGTGTGGAGTTCGTTAATTGTAATAATATACTCACTTTCCAGGTTCCACTAAAAATTTTTCTCCTTTAATAGCATGATATATGGCTGCAAGAGACCAGGCAACACCAATACCCAGGAATACGTTGACTGCATTACTTCCAGTTACATTACCAACTGAGGCATCTGCATACTTATCCTGGATAGCTGCCACCTTGCTGGCAAATGTGTCTGTGAAGAGAGGCAGACATTAATTGTAACCATATGGTATGCACATTATGCAACACAATTCACAATCATTTGTGACTTTTAGCATTGTTAGCTAGCCATGCCATACCTCAGCTGTTAGCTGCTAACTTTCCACTGCATCAGGCAGGATTCAATCTTGGGTTCACGTGATGTCAGTTTTGTGGTGGCAAAAGTGGCACTTGGGCAGGCTCTGTCTGAGTACTTCAGTTCCCCTGCCAATTTTCACTCTGTCAATTGCTTCATATACATTAGTCATCCTTTCATCACTGCTATATAGTCTCAGTACTTACAGCGTTGTTAAACAACAAACTAAAAAAACAGTACTGCTAGCCATCTCTTTCAGGATGATAAATGTGAAGACAGATATTTGGAATACATAATTTTGAGAATATATAAAATCCACATATGAGTACTATATTGGTTAATTTAGATATAATATTGAGATTTGAATATTAATATACAAAAATAATTTAGGCATAATTCAAAAGTTTTAAACAGACAAATGAGCAAAGTTATAATTGAAGAATTTCTTAATATTAATAATATTCTGTTAAACATATTACCTGCTGTTGTTATATGGTCAAACTGTACAAAAATAACAGTGCCTGTTTCTGCATATCATAGAATACTACATACATAAATACTAAATATTTTTATTAATACAGTTTCTAATCCCACAGGACTACTTCTGTGTAGCATGTATTTTCATAAAAAGTGCCTAATATTGACTGAAAAAAGATATGAATGAAGTATGATTATCTGTAGCAGATATTAACTCATCCTCAACTGTCATATTTGGGCAAATGAAATGAAAATTTGTACAACAAAAATATTTCTTAGAATCATACAGTAATACAAGCAAAGAGACTATAATTATATTCTTGAGGCACCCAATGGTATTCAATTCTGTCTGTGCTGAGAGTAACAAAGAGTGATGTATAAGTGCACTTCCATAAAATAGTTCCAATTTTTTAACATGTACTGCTCCTTTTTTATGTTATTAAAAAAGTTTGGTTTCTGCAAATAACACATTCTCTGATACAATATTTAAATAAATTAAATCGACATTTTTAAAGGATAACAATATAATTAGGAGTACATTAAAAGTATTACTTATATTGGATAGTATAATGAAACATGATAAAATCCTCTTGGGTAAATGCCATACATGGCGCTGTTTAGATCATAAATGAGCTTTTATAAAGAGGTCAAATATTACTTCTTTTTTCTAGAATCATTTCCATTTTATATGGGTCAATGTAAAAGATTTCTTCAAATTTAGCATTTAAGGTTTGAATGCCTTTTTAAAATATTGCACAGTACTTTCTATTTATCACTTTCACATGCATATATTCCCTTATATTTTGTACAATGCTAAATTAAGTAACTGTAACACATTCCCAAGGCATACTGTGAAGTGGCAAATTGAGACTGACAGCAACATTTTCTACAACTAAAGCTGGGTAGGAAATAAGCAGGAGATACTAAGATATTAACCACTGATATAAATGTTAAGAAATCATTATCCAATTTGGTTCAAGTATGTAGCCATGCAACAATACAACGTGTTTAGAGGTTAAAAGGTAATAAAAGAAAACATGCAGTGAAATCAGTAGCTCAAACTTGAACACTATATTCAGCAGTAGTTAAGACTACTCCCAAGCATATGCAACAAATTTGGCAATACTAAAACAAACACTGAACAGTTAATTACTACAAGCCTTTCTATTTTACAATAATAACAGAACACACTAAGGGATGGAAAGGATGAAATATTTCATTATGTGATAAATGACATCAAACAAACTATTACAAAATACACTAATTTAATCTATCTGTATACAGAAGCTAGATTCTATTAGCACTTCTGATACCAAATGGACTACCATAATGGTAAGGCAGTTAATTCATATTTTAGATGTGCTCAGTTTGAACCTCAGCAGGGATATCAATTATCCTTCAGGATTTTAAGTTCTCAGAGCAGTGGTTATAAAGAGTTCTATCTTCTAGAACTTAATGCCATGCAGTCTGTTGAAAATCAACCTTTCAGTGGACTACACGGCACTCTGAACAGCTTGCATAGCGTTATATCCCTGAAGTTAGAACTCACCAGTTATCCTGACTTGAGGTTTTTTTACGGTTTTCCTCAGTCCCTCCAGGAGAAATGCCAGTGCAGTATCTCATCTAAGCTACAAATAGTTCTTTCCAATTCTTTTAAAATCATTTCAAATTTATCATTCATCTGTCATCCTGCAAATCATTCAACACTACAGAATCTAGCTACTTCTAGTGGTGTTACCGTAAGATTCGTGGTGAATCTAGGAATGCATAATGTAGAAAAATGAAAATTCTGATTTATCAGAACAATACATTTTGCATGATACCTAAAATATAGTTTTTTTTTTCATTGTCCACAGTTCTATAAGGGAACTGCATACAGTGTGTTAACCTTTTATTTGCTTTCATTTCTTGACATATTTATTCTACGAATGAAACAAAATTTAAATATGAACGTAGCTGTTACACTTCAACACCTATCCTGATTAAGTACTTCATATATTGCATCATACTGAATCAAGGCCACACTAAATAAAAGCTATTGCATTTGATTTCCATGGATGAGGGTACCAGTAGATAAGTATGGACATTAAACATAAAATCACATCACAATGATATGTAATACACTGACAACAAGCAGCTGACTGACTCTTGTTTAACAGTACATAGGTGCAAACATTCATACAAACACTTAATTATAGTAATATTAGTTACTTTGGCAAGACTCATGATTTCAGAAGCTTCAAAACAAATTATATTTACGTTCTAAAGGAAAGGCAAACAAGGATTATTTTTTATCTTAAAATTGTAAATCGTGCATCATTCTAACATTTGATTTAAAAAAGTTTGAAATATATTTTAAATGTGGAACTTGTGATGAGTATTACAGCACTAAAATAATTCAGTTCCTTTCAATAATGAAGTACACGCAGAGAATTAAATAAAAACAAGATCAAATGAGGCCAAAGTATAGGATATTCTACTTTAAAACTCTTTCAAACAGTAAGCATTCAATAAAGTAATTACTTCAAAATTCTAGGGTATAGTGATGCTCAAGATAACATTTCTATTCCTCTTTTGTCTTTCGAGTTTGCGACATTCCACTGAGACATACTGGCTACTTTTTCAAGTTACAAACAATAACTGTATGATGGAAGCAGCACTGCTCCTCTGAAATCTTTCCCATTACAATGTGAATCCAGAATAAAAGACCTGAAAGTTACAGACTGACCAATATGACTGTACTGATATTTGTATGAAAATGGAAGAATAATTCTTCAAAGTGATTTTCTTTCTTGAATTAATTTTTCATGTCTTGAATGACCGCCTCTGTGGTCTAGTGGTCGGAGTTCCTGGCTATAGATCCAGAGGTCCAGGTTCGATTCCCGGCGCTACCAGATTTTCTGAGAAGTGGTGGGTCTGGAACGGGGTCCACTCAGCCTTACGAGGACAATTGAGGCGCTATTTCAAGGAAATAGCGGCTCTGATCTAGAAAACCTAAATTAACGACCATGGGGATTCGTTGCGCTGATCACACAACACTCTCTAGCAACTTCTAACGTTGCCGACAAGCGGCAGTCGCTCAGTCCGTATAGTTTGCTTGCCAACTGAAACAACAGTTTTTCTTGCTTTGTCTTGAATGACACAAAAATAAAGCATGGTGTTGATGTAAATATAGAGTATGTGAAGATGAAGAAACAATATGTAGTTTAAAAAACATGTTGCACATTCCAGAAGTTTAAGCATGCATTAACCAGATGGTGTTTTATAAAGATATTGTCTGTCAAATGCACTATTAATTCTAATTTTTTGCTCTTCACTTTGTTATTATGTGTATGTTCTGCTATTTAAACTGAAGTTATAAGTGGAATTTTACTGTGTTAACAGCAAATTAATATTAAGAATATAAAAATACACGGAAAAAATTCTGATCATGGTTAGTAGGCATTAGTATTACATGATGATTGTGGGATATCTATCTATACCTGGGAGACTGGTACCCATTGCCACTAAACCAATAGCTGTGACAGAATCCTTCAAGTTGACACTGCAGCCAAAGTGGGAGGCAACATCACCAATAAGTGCTGTCAGGAATCCTATCCATAAAATGGAGATGCAAAAACACACGTACCCCTGAGCGACATCTACTCATGAATCACCATTACCGAGAAAAAGAAGAATTTTTTTTTATTTGTAATATGTCTCATTAAAGATGACCGTAAAAGATAATAATGTATCAAAAATGGAGCCAATTTCATGTCTGAGCATGGACAACTTACCTTTCTAAAATCTGTACAGGATTTAAGAAAATAAGACAAATGCAAAAGTTAATTATTAATTTTAGGAAACAAAACATCACATCTTCAGACATGGTTGAAAAGAACAGACGAAAGTCTGCTTTCTTCAGATGGCTGCAAACACAAAAATAATGTGATGAACTGGTCCCTTTTTTTTGTGATGGCCATGCAGGAACTTCAATTGAGAAACTATGAACATTTTAATACTGGCTCCTTCTGAACAAAACTGTGCACAAGATGTCTGAAATAGCTGGTTGCCACTCAAGTGTCCTCGTAACAATTGTAGTGGGAGAGCTCTCAGGATCAAAGTCCGAGATGAACAAAATTATTGGTAGCAGGTAGAGAAACGTTACATGCAATTTGAGTTTCAACTATTCCTCTTGTGAAGGAACAAAAGAAGGTAAAACTAACCACTGTGTTTTGTATTTTCACTGTGTTAGCTTGTTTTCTGGACCAATGGCAAAATTACAAAGAATTATCATAAAAAACAACACAATTTGAAGACTTGTAACGATGACAGAAGAGACTGGCATAATCCTCAAATATTTCAGTATTCACCAAAATTATGAATACAGGGAAAGGTCTGTTTCATGTAAACTGTGAATCTAAATACCCACACACACGATAAGTTGAAGCGACAGTAATCTGTACTAAATTAAAAGAAAGGCACATGGATATTTTCCAAAATTTTGTGCATATGGACAAATATGAAGAGTATAAATGCAATATATGATTACTAGTAACATTGGCATTTTAATACATAAAGGGGAAAGTAAATATCACAACCATTTTCAGGTTGAATAATGCCCTCTGACCTAGGTATAATTTGATTTTACAGGTCTATGTAAGAGTCTGTTCTACTCTCATTTTCAGATAATTGATTATTGTGTTGTTGATACAATATTATCACTTTGGTGATAATTAATTTAGGGTTAATTTATTACAAATTAGTTGATGTAAAATTACATGTGCATATAGCAATTGACACTCATGTGTCTCTAACAACCCAAACCCACAGACACACACACACACACATCACTTCAGTGGTTATCATATTCGTAAATATTCGACGTATGTGTTAAAACACAGTCACCACTATAAGAACAGAAATTAAGAAAACGAAAATTGCCATTTATAATGACGAGTATCTAACATTTTTGTTGATCCCATTTCCAGACCAATGTTGATATTAAATACATCTCACTCTGTTGACAGTTCCCAGTATAATAAAAGCTTTATCATAATGGATCAAGCACTATTTTAAACCTTCAGAGATTCATAACTAATTGAACACAGGAAGTAGGAAGGAGAGTAGATGAATGTTATACATAATAAGACACACAAAATACTTATTTAGTAACAAGATGTATGTATGAAGATAAACACATAAACATTCTATGTTTTAAGAGTTTGAAGTGATGGCATTGGTTGCATACACATATCAATATAAAAAGAGAAATATTATATTTTATATTAAGGAAGTTAGACCACTTAGTGGCAGAAATTTATCGTGTAAGCTATATTATGATTCATATTCTTTAAACTTATTTTATAGCTGGCATGCAAATAAGAGCACTGACTAATCATAATTTCACTTTATGCAAATGTTTCCAATAATGCCTACAAAAGTACTGCAGAAATTTTACACATGAACAAAGGTGAAAATGAAAGTGTATGTTATATTTATTTGCCATCTGTAAGATTAATAAAATATATGCGAAGTTGAAATACTTATATGCATTTCATGCTACAGCCATGCAGGTGGTACATGAAAGGAAACTAAATTCACCGTCCCTCATGAATAGTTAGAAACTTAAGGAAATCAAATGCATCAGCTACATAAAACACAATATACAAAGTACAACCAGTGGTTACATAATCAAGCAAGCATCACTCCTCACTAATGACAACACAAATGAACCATTACAGATAAACACTTCATCTAAAAACATGGGCATAATATGTCTCATCTTTTACATAATTTCTTCGTCTCTATTTCAGTTTTCCAATTGCCTTCCTGGTTTCTTGACTGAAGTTTCATATGGAGTTCTTTCACGAGACTAGGCTATATGCCCTGCCCATTGTAATTTCCATATTATGTACTTCAACAATATTACTGCTAACATTCAACTGAAGTTTCTACCATATATTTTTAAACACTTAAGTATCATCAAGATCATCATTAGCAGCAGCAGCAGCAGCAGCAGCAAAACAGCCCTTTTTGAGCCACATACCTGCTTAGAAGATTCTGCCAGACTTGTCTGAACCAGTACTTACTTTTGGGATTTTGCAAAAGTATTTTTACAGAGCAAGGTCTTCAGCTTTCAATCCAACCCCAACTTTGATAACTAACAATTAATTATAAGATTTTAAAAGTAACAACTTTGATATAATAGCCTCGACAGTGGCCACAAAACAAGAGTTAATAAAGCCAACAAGGAGCCGTCATTTGTATAAATGTCTTTAATGATTTTCTATATACTTGTCACAATAAAGCCACATTATAACCTGATGGACAGACTGTCATTATGCAGAAACTTTAGCTCGTGTTATACACAGATAAACATAGTTCATAAAATCTGACATAGAAATAAGCATTTTAAAAAACTGTTTCTTTCTGTGTTTTGTCATATAGTAATATTGTGAACAAAACTGCTGAGGAGAATGTTCGAACATAAGAGAGAGGAAATAATAGGAAAATGCGGAACATTAAATAATGAGGAGCTCCGTAATTTGTGTTTTTCAGATAATACGGGGTGTTTTTTAATGAACTTGATGCGTTCACGGCTCTGCGCTTCACTGTGACTGGCGCATCATCAGCCGTGAAGCGCATGCAAATTTTACTGAAGACTCAGCATGCCAATAACATTTGAAACGAAGAGAAGTTCTTACCTATGTTCACAGATCACAGGAGCAATTGAAATCGCTATCCCTCTACATGTAAATTTCTTTCACAATTAATTGTTTCACTAAAAATATACATCTACAAAAATTCTTCAGCACACCAGTCACAACTTTCACTGGATGGCTTCAGCAATCGTGTTGCCGTTCTTGCACTAGACTCTGACACTCCAATCTCTTGAGCTAGTTGTTTCAGTGATTTTCTAGGTGTACGTTCAAGTGTGGCCTCTATGCCATCTAACTTCTCTGTAAGCATTCGACACTTAGGTTTTGTTTTCTTGTCTATTAAGAGTTCTGTTTTTTTCTAAGTTTATTCACCAAATTATGAACTGTTTATCTGCTGGACACTCCTTCATCACAAAATTTACATCGAAATTTTTGCCAACACTTTCCAGCTGATCTGTATTTTACATAGGTTTCATACAGAAATACACGTTGCTCTAAAGTATACAGAATGATGTCGAGCCATACTGCTGATCAACTGTTAACTGGGAACAAATGGCTTATCGCGCTGGTACCGCCTACTGCTCATAAATCATAAACAAACTCCCACAAATGAACCACACTACCCACTGTGTAATATAATACTGTGTACAAGTTTACAAGTTAATTATTTTCCGTAATTTCAAATGTTATTGGCCATCAAGAATGCTGAGTCATCAGGAAACATCACATGTACTTCATTGCTGCCAGCGATGCACCGGTAGCAACGAAGTGCAGAGCCTTGAACACGTCTAGTTACTAAAAATATTACCTGTATTATTAGGGTGATTAAATCAAAGAAGAGTAGGTGGGCAGAGCATGTAGCAACCACAGCGGAGATGAGAAATTCATAAAAAACTGAGTCATAAAACATCAGGGGAAGAGATGCCTCAGAATATGCTGGTATTTACAGAAGATAATCTTAACATTATCTTAAAGATACAGGATGTGAGGGTATGGACTGGAATCAACTTCCTCAGAATAGGGTCCAGTGATGGACTCTATTGAATAGAGTAATGAATATACGTCTTTCATAAAAAGCAGGGAATTTCTTGGCCAGCAGAACTTTTTACTACACAAGGAAGACCTTGCATCATGGAGTTAGGCTGAAGATAGTTATAGTGCAAGGGTTGTCTAATCTAGTTCCTATATGTATGAGGGAGAATCAGTACGTAGGTCACAAGTGGATATGAAATGTAAAACATGCGATATTCGAACCTGGAAAAAACGTTTATTCCTTGACATATCCTTCACCAACATTGATACACTTGTCCTCTCGCTTTACCAGTGCGTCAAAATCCACAGCATAGAAGTCTTTTGACTGTTGCCTTAGCCAATTCCACACCTCCATTTTAAACTCTTCAACATCAGCGAATTGTTTACCACAAAGGTGGTGTTATAGCAACCAAACAGATGGAAGTCACGAGGAGCCAAGTCCAGGCTGCAAAATGAATGTTCAAGAAGTTCGCACTGGAATTCTTGAATTCTCTCCTGAGTTGTTCGGTCTATATGATGTCTGACACTGTCATGATAAAGCAGTACACCTCTTACCAGTTGGTCTATATGTTTTCTGTGAATTGCATCATGAAACTTCAACAGAAATTCACAGTACGATGCAGAATTCATATTTTCAGCATGCTTCTGAAAGTGGGCCGACACTACTTCCTAAGAATCCCAAAACCATAAAGATTTTGGTTGAATGTGAACCAGGATGTTTACATTGCACTGAAGCATACTTTGATTTGGGTTGGTATGAGCTGTGATGCACCAACGATTCGTCCCAAACAAAAATCCTGTTAAGCATATCTGCTCCTTCATCTGTGCACTATAAGAGATGTTGCAAGGAGAGACATTCAATTCATTTTTTCCCGATCCTTGAGTTCTCTGGGCACTCACTATGCACACACTTTCTGATATTGAAACAATCATAAATTATACCGTATGCTAAGCCATAGGTACACCCTGGTGCAGTTTCTACACTATATCGCTGTCCTCCTGTCAGCTCAGATCAACTCCTCCACCCACTCCACAGTTGTTTTTGCTGTTATCTGAACACAGTGTCCTGGTCAGGCATCATTTGCAATTTTCATATGTCACTGAGAGACTTTCTTGATACAGTCATAAACCATTTTACATGACAAACACTTCCCACCATAAATAGGAAATACTTCTTTGGCACTTTTGCCCACAAAAGCACACAACAGAATGCTGATCTTCTGCAGTATACACCTCAAGCATGGTCGCCATTTTGACTAATGATACCAGCGCATGTGACTCTGCTACCCAGACTGTCATGAAGCTGAATGGTGTAGCTACCAAGTGATTCAAATAGAAAATCTATTATGTCCATTCCATTGTCACTATGTACACTTACTTACAATTGAGTCTTAATATCTAGTATGTATAATATATACGAAGCCTGTCAGTCTAGGCTCAGTACAGCAGACTATGCTCTATTTCTAGTAGTATTTGCTACCATGGCAGTTTAGTCACTTGAATGTCCATTACAACTGTTTTACTTCCATTCCTGACCTATCTCCTGACTCTCCCTCACAGAATAAGCCTACTAATATCATTGTCTGTTCATTAAGTTCAAGTTATACTTTAAATGCTCACAAGATGTTGCACTCAATCAGTACCAGTTGTTATGAACAGTATTCAAAATTTGTGACAACTGTCACTTATCAAAATGATAACAAAGTAGAATGCCCTGCTTATTAAAATGTAAAAATTATATGTGATATATAATTTTACAGATATTTCATTCAGTTTCACTCAGTGGGTTATAAAAAATTACTCATTTTAAATACGTAAGTAGTACTCATTACATTACTTTGTTCATAGATTTCTGTAGAGTATATTCTCCCTAAACTTAGTTCAGCCATTTTTGTAATTAGGAGTTTATCTCATTTTATGAGTAAAAGAATTTTACAAACGGTGTATTTTTCTTATTTCCACTCAATGAATGAGGTTAGAGTTTTTAAATTACAAAAAAAGTAATAAGGATTATATCTGGAGTGGGACCTAGAGACTCATGTAGGGATCTTTTTAAGAACTTAAAGATACTGCTATTGCCATGTGAATACATTCTCTCATTGATGATGTTTGTGATTGATAATCAAACTAAATTTTGTTCAGGTTTAGATGTTTAGCAATTATATTTGCCAAACTTGAATCTTTCTGCTTTTCAGAAAGTTACTATGTTTACCGCTATTAAACTATTCAACAGATTGCCCATAACCATTCAAAGCCTTAAAGAGGATAGAATTAGTTTTAAAACTAAGCTGTCTTTATATCTTATGAATAATTCCTTTTATACAGTTTCTGAATATGTGGAGCATAACATAAACAACTAGTTTTAATTATTCTGTTACCTGTGTGTTTGTTTAAATTGTTTGTATTTCTTTTGCTATGACGACCTTCATGTCCATTTGTTTTGGACTTATGAAATGAACTATATATATGTGTGTGTGTGTGTGTGTCATTTCAATGATTTAAGAAATCTAAACTCACACAAATCTCAACACACACACACACACACACACACACACATACATACATATATATATATGCAGCTGAAGTCTATTTGTTGGAGAACTATATACTGTATGGGCCAGAAAATATAATGTTACTGATTAACATTTCAGATTAAATATGGGGCTGCTCTGGCTTATCTGTATGTGAATAAAACTGCATTGAATCTTACATTACCCTTTTTGAACACAGAATAACACAGAGATTTCTCAACACTCTTATCACTTATCCTTCGTGTTTGTCACAACCTTCAACAAGACTGTGTGTGTGTGAGAGTCTCTAAATTCCCGAGAACGACTTTCAAAATGGATACCATACGATATTATTTGACTTAAGTTCTAAGTAGTTACAATTTTGCAGCTTCAGTGTATGGTGCACCTGTACCATACAACAGACTCTGAATTATTTGTGCAGTCATGCAGATCTCACAAATCTATTACATTCAGATACACATATCCAACATCTGTGGCATGCGAATTTCATACAGCACGTTATACATATAAAATCGAAGTAAACCAGATTTGACACAAGTAAAAAGAAGTGAACCCACAGTAATGAATGGTATTCTCTAATAGATGGACTATGACATGTAGACATGCATTATAAAATTTAATTACATTGTCTTGAGTACAAAGAACAGAAAGAACACTTTAATATCTAAATTGTACCACAGATTAATTCAAGGCTTAAGGTTAAGGAAAGCGTTTAGAGATGGAAAATATGTCAGTTTCAAGGGTAATTTATAAGCAGCTTCTGAAGACACAGTGATTTTGTTCTTCTATTGTAATGTATTAAATTTAAATTATTATTATAGCAGATTGTTAGTCATATTTAATTAAGTTGGTTCTCAAAGTATCAAACTAATTAAAGTCTGTAAGATACTTTCTTAAATTTTAAAGTTTGTCATGAAATTTGAGAGGCTACTATAAAAACGGATATTTAATGCTCTAGAATTGTGATAAAAGTAGTATGACTTCATGTATAAATATATGCTGAAATAACACCCCTCTCAAGTTCCAAATGGAAAACCACTCTCAATTTTCTGCTTCATTTCTAGCAAACAACTGAAGAGTTCATCCTAGCTGATATTGGAAACTGCTGGAGGGGCCAGTTGCCTTACCTGGTACACTTGTACCGAGAGCAACAAAGGCCACAGCGGTGACTGCGTCCTTGAGGCCCACCGTACAACCAAAGTGAGACGCCACGTCTCCAATGACGGCCGTGAGACAACCAATTCCACATATTGAGATAACGAAACATAAATAACCATCAAACATATCTGGGGAGCAGAAGAGGAGAGAAAAATGAACAACAGCTGAGCAAAACATAGTAATACAGTATGGGAGAAAAGTGTAAGTATAACAGAGAGACTCACAGTGCTGAGATTTTCTGCATGCTGAGAGGTATCTATATAAATTTTTTGTGCAGAAGAAAATGAAAGGAAAGGAGAGGGAACGGTGAAATACAGAATAAGTAATTAGAGACTTCATACAATGTGCTAATTTCAGATCAGTGTGACACAGGCCTCCCCAATGTTTCTCACTCAGTAGCTTTAAAAAGTGGTGAAGCTAGTAAATGTGATAAAAGTGAAAATAATTAAGTGTAACTGTATATGAGAGATGCTTACTAAGTCACTAAGAAGTAGAAAAAACTTCAATTTATATATCATGACAAGTTCTAATATTCATTAAATATATAATATATTTATTTCAATTAAATTTCAAAATCAAATATGTCACTTGGCACCTTTAAGACCAGTTTCTGCAATGTGTATGTAAGTATATGGAGACAGAGTATTCAAAAACTGTGGGATGAAACAGAAATTCTGTAGTTCCAGTCACTGGAACAAACACATACACCATCTCAGACTGGATCATTCGAATACAAAACCAAATGAAAAAGCAACTTTTCAAATTCAATATCCACTACAGTTTTTGTATGTTTGTATAAATTAATTTAGTCATTTACTACATTTTACGGGACCAGTGGGCATATTATTGCATACTTTCATCTCTCAAAATCAATTCTCATACCTGCAGAAATTTTTATGATTTAGGAAACTTCTCTCCAAGACCAATGGATTTCCAGTGACATCAGCTACAGATTTTTGTTTTTGTTCCTTAATTATAATAACTTACTGTACCAGCTGAGTTTCGTTTTAGTGTGTTAAACTAGTTATTTTTATACACTAACGTTCTGTGGCAGGGCAAAATGATCAAGTTTTGAATACCATAAAAATGGTCTATTATGCAATAAGTACTTTTTTTTTCTTACACATGACAAAGTACTGGATTTGTGAAATAACACAGTCTTAAGTCAAGCCATAGACAAGAAACAGAAGCTTAGATGCAATAGGTACAAGCTGCTTGATTAAGTTCCCTCCAGTCTGAAGCCAACAGAGAAATGGCACAGGACCCTTTCAATGTACCAGGCTCTCAGACAATAACCTGCCATTTAGGATGGAAAAGAAATGTAACTTTTCTCTTTCTATAAATGCATATATTCTTTATCCTGTTTGAAACGGTCCAGCAGATGTTACAAATTCCAAACACTCTGCTCTAAGGAGTTCTTCATTCTTTTGGCATCTATTGAATTCCTGAGTCATTAAACACATTGATGCAGTAGTAATATTCGAGGACTGTATGTCAGTCAATTTACTGACTGAATTAGTTATAGCTGACCTATATATTTGTGATCAAACTATAAACAACTGTCATTAACAGCATGCTCTAGAAAGTGTTCACTTCCATATGATAACAGATTATGAATTAGAATAAGCTACTGATTTTTATTAGGTTCATTTGACATGATATGATAGGCAGAAGAGAAAGCAGTTTTTGAAAGAAGTAAGAAATTGGCTGTGCCCCTGGACAAGCAGTTTTGTAGTCTACTAACTGGGAAGGCCTGTTCTACAGTGACTTCTGAACAGCAATAACATCACACATGAGCATCAGTTTATCTGTACAGTAATTCCTTGCCAACCATGGGGGTTAGGTTCCTAAAAATATACTGCAGTTGAGAAGATCAAGGCTATATTGGAGACTGAAGGCCAGCAAAACCACGGCCACTAATAACATCCATCAAGGACTAACCATATTACAATAGGGTGTTTAAAAATAAATTAAACAAAATATAGAAACTGTCATAAATACACATCTGTAACTTTAATCTGGAAGCTAGAAAACTGGCTTCGGATGCTATTACATTCTCCCACTAACAAACGAAGATCTTTAAGTGCATGAAAACCACTACCTCTTACATGTGTACTCAAATTAAAACTCAAATACTGAGGTTGGTGATACTCAACACAACAGAAAACTGCAGATAATTTAAATCCCCATAGCTGGAAAAAAACTGTAGTTGGCAAGGGATTGCTGGAGAACTGTCTTGTCTTCTGTCCAGCACTTCAGTCCTGAAATGTCAATTACAAGCTAAGGTCATAGAATGACTGTATACAGAAAGTGGAAACAAAGAGTAATAGTGATAACAGAGAACACAAAACATTAAGAAATTAAAGATGTGAAATAATGAAGACAGCACCATAACTTTCTGAAACATGGTAGGCAGGGGTTGGTTGTACTGCCAACAGTTCTCTGAAGGTATCCATCAGTGCACCTAGATCTTGTCTAAAGTTCTAATAAAGATACATGACATTTGAAACTGAACAATGAAGTAGGTTATCTAAAACATCAATGATGAGTCAAACAGACATTACACATTCATACCAGAAAATTATGTTACTGAAGATTAGTTGCATTCATTCTATCCCTGAATATGTATTATGATTTGTAGTGATGTATTCATGTTACATAAATTAGTTATACATATTAATATTTATACTGATTACTCCAGCACTCTCATTAAGAATCGACCAAGATGCTTTAATCCAATAATTCTTTACATGTGATATTAAACTGGGGTTCAAATGAACAACAAAAATTAACTGTATTGTTACCAATTAAATTAGCGTTAACAGAAGAACCAGATTGTAAAGATGTGATGCTGTGATGGCTGTAACTGTGAAGTGTGGGCTACAGTGTTCTGAGATATGATGCCATGTAAGCTAATAGGAGTTTACCAATGTTTTGAAGAAACATACTGCCTCCATCTTTGGAGTCAAAGAGCAAGCCATGGAAGAAAGCAGCACCAAGGAAGTTCTTCAACCCTGAAGATGGAAGCAATACAATCCTCTGAGACATAGATGTAGGCCAAACTACATGTCATTACATCCCAGTAGATAATATTCTTCAGAATTATAAGTTGTTAGCATAAAGTAGGTGCTAAGTTGCTTAAGTAGTAAAATGTCTGCCCAGTAAGTGCAAGATCCTTATGGACTGAATTTCATAACAAGATTCTTCTATGTGGAGAAAATAGTCAGTTTAGGAAATCATAGCACGAGAATGGCTCTATGGATTTGAATGAAACAGATAAAAGTTTTGAAGAACATGCCTTAATGACTGTATAAAAGACTTAGTGCATGTGGTTTTAATCTGTTACACAGAAGTAATTTCAATATTCAATGTTAAAAATGGATAATTTTATATCTATATTCCACAATCTTTAAAATTCTTAGTGGGGTGAGACTGAATCCATTTGGTACTGCTGCCACTACTGGCCTGTTGTACCAGCCCCAGATGTTAGATGATTGTGATTGTGGAGCAATTGGTGGAATGAAGTTTGGCAGGGGAAACTGAAGTACTTGGAGAAAAGTTTCCCCAGTGCCACTTTGTCCATTACAAATCCCACATGAATCACTAGATGATGCTGCAGTTGAATTTATGTAATTAGCAGAATGTACACAGATTCTCCAGATTTTAATCTGTTAGAATATCAAGTTTGAAGTGAATTTCCACAGAGTGTACAAGAACCAAAGATAACAATTTCAGCCCTGTAGTTACTGCAACAAAGAACTGAAAAAGTGTCATCTCTGTTATCAAAGTATAACAACCAATCAGCCATCAACAAACAGAAAAGTCGAATTCAAGGGCTAGTCAAAGGTAATGAGTCATACTCAATACTGATTTTTGTACAGAAGTGCAACTGGATTATAAATAAATGCCTATTTTTAAGACTCAAAATGGGGAGAGTGGGAAAAACATGCAAAGTGGATCCATAGAACTGGATAAGTCTTCTGTAATAGATTCATTGCAATCCTATAAAGCCATTCATTTTTACCATTAAAAGAAGTCATTTTTAACCACGTTGTATAGGAAGTATCTATGCCTAAGCATCATGGCATGAAAATATGCAGAGGATGAAAAGTAATGCTTCACAAATTCTAGACCTTGGCACTAGCTGGATGATAGTGGTCAGCTTGAAATTTGTGCTGCTTTATTCCCTCTGTTCTTTCTGTGAGATGAGCATATCATCAAGCTTTTCTGTATATATGGGTCAAAGGATCAAATATCAAATGGGTAAAGAACAAATATTTGCTTCTGTCAAACAATGGATTCTGGTTATCCAGCCACTAACCAATCATTTACGGAGCTGTTACAACTATGAAAATTGTGTATCATTTAAGAGAAGCACATCAATAACACAGAGTTCTTCAATGATAATAGCAACATTCCATGTGTGCTGTGTGGATGACAAGGTTACAAATGAATAAAACATCCAACAGGTGTGGTTCACATATGATATACCAAGGAAGCAATATTTTATGCTGTATTAAGGGAGCATAATAGCTGTGAAATGAAGATGCAGCAGGTCTCAGGGGCTACCTGGCACACTGGTACCCAGTGTAACAAAAACGATGGCTGTTACAGAGTCCTTGATGCCAACTGAACACCCAAAGTGCGATGCAACATCCCCAATGATGGCTGTCATCACACCAATCATGACGATGCACACAAGAAAAGCTGCATAGCCCTTGCCAAGAGCTGTGTATAACCAACACAAAAATAATGTTAAATTTAATCATTGGAACAACAGTCTCATAATCAAGTCACATGAAATACCAGGCACAATAGATCACTGTAGTCACGGTGCAAGGGCCAAGAAGGTCCACCTCTTATACATGAAATATTGAAAATCACATTTAGAACACAATTTGGCAGCTGCAAGGAAAACAGAAGGGCTTGTGGTATTCTATATGAGTTAAGTAATTGAAATTAAAAAGTAACTGAAAACACATAAGTGGACTGATGAATAGTTGTTCCCATGTTTTGTATGGTCTTTGCTTGAAGTGATTACATTTAACACATGACTGGGCTAGTGTGTGTGTGTGTGTGTGTGTGTGTCTGTGTCTGTCGTGTGGGTGTTTGTGTGTTTGTGCATACG